GATAATTTATTAAATAAATAAAATAAAAAAGTAAATAAATAAGTTACCAAAATAAGGTATCAACCCGAGCAAAGTCCAGCATCAAAATAACAGCAAATTGAAATCAAGTTTTGATATCAACATCAAACTGAAATCATAATTTGATTTCAGTTTACGCAATTGACATATTTGATACCAAATTTTGTTTTAATTTTGCTGTACATTTGCTCTTCAAAAATATGTTGTTGCGGGTTTGTTTTCATTGCCTTAGCATAACATCGAATTGAATACTTGTTTTGTTATCAACAGGAAAAATTGATATCAAATTGAGTTTTCAGTTTGCTCTCACTGATAGCAGAAATAGCTTTCAATGTGATGTAACAGAAAGATTTTTTTTGCTCTCAGTCAACGAGCAAAACGACAGCAACCTGAGTGCGAAACCGAACTTTTTGTCAGTGCAAATCTCAACCTGATCTAGGTTTTAAAAACAAACGAGCAAACTGACGTTTGTCAGAAAACAAGCAAACCCAATCTTGATACCCGATCCAGGTTGGAACTGAATAATAAACGAATTCGCTATGAGTCAATGGTTGAGCAAGATTTTACTGGTTATTATGTACGGATACGGAGACACGACAAAGAGAGAGAAAGAAAGTTTTTTTTTTCCGCGTTCTGTTTCATTGGTGAAGCTGATTGTTTTTATTCTTACTGATGCAGATTTTGCCGTCTTCACTTCACCCACTAAGCAATGCTCACCTAAATTTTGCTGCGGGGAGGCGAAATAGGTTGCAACAAATGGACGGTTTTGCGCTAACGAGGCATCTTGAGGGCAGTGAGGGAAAGATGGACACTTTCTGTTTTAATTCAAAAAATATTGTCGCATAAAATTAAATGTACTTAGTTTAGTGCTTTAGCTCACGAAGTGTCCTGTTTTTAATTGTGTCACGATGCAAATTAGGGCTAGAGATTGTTTTTGGATTTATAAACAATAATAATTAAATAGGGGCTCTTCATTAACTACATGGACTGTTTTGGGGGTTCTACACAGTTAAATATTTTTATTGGAAATTGTATGAACTGTGGACATTTGCCATATCTCTTCTCCTATAGATGACTACAGTAGCCTGGGGGCAAATAGATCCCCGGGGTAAAATTGATCACTATGAGATGTATTTTTGGTTAGCTTATAGCATATTTTTGGTGGTAGATATCAATACAATTCTGATAGCATTTCATCGTGAGACTCCAATAACTGCGTTGACGAGTTTTTCGAAACATACATGTTTTTCTGCATAAATTTCAGATTTATTGAAAAGATGTTAAAAATCATCAAATTTCATCACTCAAACAAGTACAATAGAAATTGATGCCATTGACTTGAATGCGGTACTTCTTGAAATTCAAAATTACATAGGGAAAGAATGCCACTCTTACATTAATAAACAAGTTTAAAAAAAATCGAGCATCCGGCATAATTTTGGAATTTCAATCTCCGAAAGTTTATATAAAAATAGTTTTCATTTCGGTGGCACTCTTGTTCCATCTGGCCCTGTATTCCCCGCCCCCTATGTAATAATAATTAGCGAAAAATCACCCTTTCCCCACATACGTTACATAATTTGTAATGCAAATCACAATAGATTATTTTATATTTCTTTTTCAGTTTTAAAAATAATTGTTTCTGTACTTACCCAAATGAATAATTTCAACATTCTCATTGTCATCCATGCATTGTGCGTTTATTGCAAAAATGTGGCGACCCCGACATGACACTGAATCTATTTTCAGGTTCAACAGTCGCCCCTTTGCACGCTTACTATAAAGTTGTTTTATTTCCCTTGCCCCTTTATCAACGTACCCAGGCAAGACGGTTTTATGACAGGTGGGCAGGAACTCACGGTCTCCCAGTGTTGGTGAGTTCTTTGCCGTTAATGTTCACGAAAAGTTCACTATTTTGCTATACAGAAATTCAAAACAAAAATTTTTATCTGCGGATTTGAACAGTTTTTGACCTGTTTCATACTACCGGAAGGTGTATGCTGGTCACAAATGCCGTCCCAAACTGATTTCCTACTCAATTAATCAATATTTGATGTGAAATTCGCTAATAAACACGAGGCGCATTTCTTATAGCAAACATGCCATAACAAAATGGGTATGGTATGGTTTACTTAAATGAACCATACCCATTTTGTTATGGCATGTTTGCTATAAGAAATGCGCCTCGTGTTTATTAGCGAATTTCACATCAAATATTGATTAATTGAGTAGGAAATCAGTTTGGGACGGCATTTGTGACCAGCATACACCTTCCGGTAGTATGAAACAGGTCAAAAACTGTTCAAATCCGCAGATAAAAATTTTTGTTTTGAATTTCTGTATAGCAAAATAGTGAACTTTTCGTGAACATTAACGGCAAAGAACTCACCAACACTGGGAGACCGTGAGTTCCTGCCCACCTGTCATAAAACCGTCTTGGACTCACTCTGACTCAATTTGTCTCTATCAACACACTCTGACTCAGACCTCGAGTTAGAAGCATGGTTAACCAGAACGACTAAGCTCAATGACTGAGAGAGAGTAAGTCTGGTTAGATGAACACATTCTCAGCATTTGTCCCGCTGAGTTGAGTCGGAATATTTTTGTTATTGCCTCTGTCCTATTCGTAGTGAGAGCCTGGTTGGAAAGTGAACATTGTGAGTTGTACCTCTCAAATACTGGTACTGAGTTTTCATTGATGCGAAAATTTGCAACATTGGTTCTAGATGCACTTCCACAGTTGTTAATTGAGAGCTCTCGATGCCTGTACCATTTTTGCATTGATATGATTGTGTGGCAAGTCCAATCATACTTCTATGTCCAGGGAAGTTGAGAAATTTTCCAACCCGAAAAATTCCTAGACCGAACCGGAAATCGAACCCAGCCACCTCCAGCATGGTCTTGCTTTGTAGCTGCGCCTTTACCGACTGAGCTAAGGGAGGCCCCGTTTCACTTATACATTTTTGCCAAAACATCAGCCTTATACATTCCATAAGACAAACCACGTAGGTCCTATAAGAATGCATAAAAGGTATGTGTGACCGCATATACATTTCATTTGACACATGATATTTATTAACTTTTTGCAAGGCGTCTGCTTATTAGTTGACTTATACATTTTATGAATAATTAGCAATAGAAATTTGCCAAAAGGTATAAGGCAATTTCTATCCGTGTACACGGTAAGAAAAAAGTACTTACTATTGGGTATAAAGCGAGTGGAAAATTCCATACGAATTGCACACAAGTAAATTAAAACTAATTTGGCCCGCTTAACCTACTTTTGGGTTCCTGCACTATAGTGCCGAGATGAGTGAAAAGAACTTACTTTTGGGGTACTTTTTTTTACCGTTTAGTGGACGCCCGAAAATTTCGTGTGTGTTTGAAAATGCTGTGCATGGCTGAAAGATTATTTTAGATTGCCGCGAGTGAACAAACGTGTGCTATTTATGAGGTGGAATTTGGTGAGATCTATCTGATTATTAATAAATTATAAATGCCTATTTCCAATTACAACTAAATACCTACATGCCGGATTCTGAAACTTCTCCTATCAAAACCTGGACGTTTTTTTAGAGTACCATTATCCATATGATTACGGTAGTGTTTAAATGCGAGGCTTATTGTTTGTGAAAGTGACCGCGGAATGGACGGGAATTACCAGGCATTCTGAAATGAGGAGCTGGATCTGCAGATCACATTCAAACACCCGGACTAAAGCTGCATTCAAGTATCACTTCAAGGATTATTGCAAGTAGATTTCTTACATAATACTACTGCTGGCAGTGGAGGTTAGATTGAATACACACATACACATATTCAAAATGTGTCGAATTGAATTCAACAAAAACTCTAATCTGCATCCATCACCATTTATTTCACGTTAATAAATCCCCTTCGTCATACCACACACACACACTCACAGCCGTTGCACAAACACATGCAAACCAACCTATGAAGTGTAACTTCCGGCTAAACCAACCCTCTGCTGGTATCCAATAAAATGTAATAAAGTTAAATTGTATTTCAAATTGACGAGATTATGGGGGTCTTCTTAGGAGTAGCTCAGCATCACTACGGTGTGGAAATGCCCAAGGAAAAACTAAATCACCAACTATCATGAGGGCGAGAGAAAGAGAGTTTCCCCGCTTACGAACCGGTTTCTTCTGGCGTTAAGTACCAATAAGGGATGAAAAAAAAAAGACGGAAGCAGCCATCTGATATTGAAAAGTTCCGAACCGAGTTATGTTACTACCCCAGCAGCAGCAGCGCGTCCCAATTCAATATCAACTCAAGTGAAATAAGGGGAAAACTTTTGCAACTCGAACCCCGTTTTTGGCGATCGCCCGCGGTAGGTGCCTTTTGGGGTTCGGCGAGTTTCGGGTTCAATGCAGGTACTCGAAACATGAAAGCGCGAGTGGGACCCCACTTGAAATAAATTACCACGCGAGGGTGAAATAATAGCGAGTGAGCTCCGGAAGAAGAATGGTGAGCAAATTTGAAAAGTTTTATGAACTTGGCTGCTTGAGATGAACGTTCCGGAGGAATGACTAGGGGTTGTAGTGGAAAGCGGTGCGAGGTTGAACCGCAGGTCCCACAGGTTAGGGATCGGAATTTGTCGATGATGATGAAGATTCGGATCGTCAGGCGAAGGATGTGGTATTGATCCGTGGGGAAATAATGGAGAAATTTGCTGCCGGCAATTGTGCGAGTTTTGAATGAGTTCGAGAAGAGTCTTTGGTGGAGGGGAAAGCCGATTGTTGGTAGGTACATGATTGATTATCTGCGGTTGGAGAGGTATATATATTCGGATTTGTGCAATTTGTGCTTTCTAATTTTCAATTTTGATCCGTTCAATTCATGACTGTTTCAAATTTTTAAGTGTTCTATTCTCAAATAATCAATGAACTAATCTATATTAACTATACGTTCATTTTCAATTGCATGTATCTTGAATTAAGATATTAAAAATGTATACTTACACAGCTTACAGCTGCATCCTTTGCATGTGCCTGAAATGAGATAGAGAAATAGACGTTAGAGTGGTTAGTAATACTGAAAACGGATCATTTTTTTCAAATTATCATATTCACTCCACCAAACACAACCAAATCAGACCCAAATATAATCCCAGCAATCTTTTGGCCACGCTTCAAATTGGAAAAATAGACCAACCAAACAAATGGTGGACACGTTCCTCGCCCAGCAAATACCCCATAATCCGATCAAGCTATAATTTGGTCCCACTTTCAAAACAGTTCCACCAGCAGTGCTCAGCGTACCATTCTAAAAATACGATTCCAATTCCTTGAGCCATTTTTTTCGGCCACGCTATCTCCTACCATTGCACTGCCGTCGGGATGGTTTTTCCTTGCCACACGTAGGTCGTCGAAAGGAAATGAGCTCGCTCCGTCTCGTCGGAATTCATTGCCGCGCCGCAGCTGTGGCCTTATCGGATGGTGAACAAGCAGTTCATTTCATTTTCATCCCGATCTCGATGGAGAATGATGAAAGGACAAGAACGAACGTCGAATAATGCGCACTGTCTTGGGGCCCTACCCGAGTAGAAAGAAGTAACAGACCAATAGCAAATGTTGATATTAAACTCCTTTTGCTTTTGCTTTGACCGATATAAGAGGTGAAGTATTATTTAAAAATAAAACAGAGTAATTATTTTTGAGTAATATTTGAGTAAACATTTAAAAAAGTGCTTACACTCCAATATTTAATCGTAGAACAAGAACTTTCAGCCAATTTTTTTTGTTTGAACTTTTTGTAAGATAATTTGTTAATGTATTTTTTTCCGCTGGAAACAATATTTGCACTATTTTTAACCGTGTCACGCGAAACAATTACTTCAGAAGTGTACTAACAAAAAAAAAACTCAAAATTCGACCAAAAGTTCTTGTTCTAATATTTTTTGTCAATTTTAAAGTATGCATAGTTTAGAATATTCCAAAAGTTTTCCGTTTGTCTGATCTTTTCTCGAAAACAAAAAAATTACATGGACATTTTTAAAATATTTGAGTGCTAACATTTTTTAGAATGTCGTCAATTTGGTCAAAGTGGCCATACATAGTTTGGAACATTTAAAAAGTTTTAATTTTTCATGAGCTGTATGCAAAATAAATTAAACAAGTACCTACTTTTTAAGATATTTGAGTGTGACATTTTTTTTAATTTTTTGCAAACAATAAAAATAAATAAATAACCACGCAAATTTTTTCTTAAAAATACATTACTTTCCTCGCCAACTTTGTCTCAGACGACATTTTGAAGTGACGCTTACGTGCTAAAAAATATTAAAAAATGCCACCTTAAAAAAAATCTAGACCCAAAAAGTCTGAATTTTATCAAAATTGTGGATGATTTCCCATATCAAACAAATTAGGCAAAGTTTCATGCAAATCGGTGGCCGAGTCGAAAAAAAAAATGTTTTTGCTATTTGGCCTGGAACTGCTCTACTGTCAAATCGACCAATCAGCAACTGACTCGGATATGACCACACCGGAAACATAATGACTGCTCCAGTGTAATGAACCTCGAAAATTTTGGTTCTCTGGTTCTGTTAAATCGAATTAGTTAAGGTGTAAATTTTCAATTTGGGCTTATTTTAATTAGCTCTTCTTTCGATTGAGCTGATTTTTATTGAATACTGCTACGCACACTTTAAATTTTCTATTGTTCTAATTGGAGGCAGATTGTGCAAGAGTTTCTTTGAAGGTCCGATGGAATGTTGTGAAATGTTGAGCTAGAATTAGGAGATGCAACAGTCTTTCAAATTTTTTGACGTAGAACTACGTCTGTGATTTTTCTTTGTAAAAATCAAAAATAGAACATGTAACGAAATTATGAAAGATTTTGAACGTTAATAATTCAGCTGTCCCTGGACCAATTTCAATAATTTCATCACCAATAGATCAGAAATATATCTATGTATCGATAGCGACTATTGATTTTCAACAAGAAACTATTGAAAAAGTGGACAATGTCAAGCATTGTCCAAAAGCGTCGAAATAACTAACAAATCCACTAATTACGTACATGCATACCGAAGTAACAATTCAGTAACTATTTGGCATCCACTCTGATTTATGATGGTTTTATAACGGCAATGAACAATCCATTTAGTATAAATACAGCATTTCAAAGTGTAAAACATTCCTGCTAGTAATTCAGCTTTTTGCTGTTTTAAAAACCTTTTATAGGCTGACAAGAAAGTCAAAAACTGTCTTGTTTAAAAAAAAATTCAAAACAGTTCTCAATCCCTCCTTAAAACTGCTCTGTAATTCAAGCATAAACGTCATGAGCAATTGTTTATTAATGTCTTGATAAAATACTTTATAAACATGTTCCATCATTATAAAAGCAACCATACAATCATAAGGTTTTGCATTAGAGCATAAAGCATTTATTGTTGCTTTTCATGCTTTTTAAAGTGCATCATAAACTCCCCAATTACTCTGTTTACAAATTGAGCCTAAAAAATGGTTCCTCATAGTTAATAAAAGCCAAATTTATGACAAGGAGATCTCGAAGGATAGACGAAGTAGGATAAAAAATTCAAGTCGATTTGAGCAAAATTTTACTTCTTTAGAAGAACCAGCACACCATCAACGACTGACCATCTGGCGGAGAAGAGTAAAGTGAGCGGGGCCCTCGAATTCATAAAACATTGTCGAAAGTTGAAAAACATACCAGCCGAACGGGAACGATTGCGCTTCCAGCTGTTCGAAATGCGAAATGTTGCAAAACAGTATTGCAAACTATCTGAGTAACTGCGCCCAATCCAACGGAAGAAAACCGCCTGGAAGAACCCTGGATCCCATAGCGCAACTAAATATCGAAAAATAAACAAACTTTGACGTTTAACTTTTTGCAGGCAACTTTGCCTCCATAATCGTCGTCATAAATCTGAACGGGTTAGGATCAAGCAAAATGGCTTTAGATAAATACAATTCAGCCTGCAAGTTTTATTCATAAAAGCCATTTTAAAACCAAATGAATTTGTTAAGGATTTCTTGAAAGCAAAACAACTTTTTCACATATCACCCATGAAAATCAAATTTTATGTCACCGCCATGTTACAATTAGTTGGCTTGTTTTTTACAATCTTCGATTTTCAATCTATATTTCCTTAGATATAACTATATTTTGGTAAATTTAGCAATGAGCAAACATTTAAATGCGAAAATTATAAAAAAAATCTCGGCCAAGCTCGATCTGAAGAATAATTTATTTTTTTCAATGTTTAATAGTTAGTCAAATCGACGTTTTACGAGAGCGGACTTATTTTTTCGACGTTTTCACGTACATTTCACATAAAATTTAATAAGACACTTAAAACTAGGCCACTTAATGTGAACTATTGTAATACATTTGGATATTCAACAAGATTTTTACCATCAGTTTCTATTTTAATTATTTGATACGATCGGATTCATAAATCCTTTTCTATCTTGATTGATGCTTTCCTAGAGGATTTAGCAAGTAGCTTGGGGGAAATGGCTCGCAAAGGAGTTTTATTGTTGCTAAATAGCTTTTGTTGTAGTTTTCAAATGGTTCTCAATGCGTTCGTCATACAACCTTTTGCAGTAAATCAATCTTGAAGAGCTTCGAAAATATACCCTTCAGAACCTTCTCCAGGGTGGGCCAACTAGACATATTCTAGTCTTAATGAGGTTTTGGTGGATGCATTAATGACAAAATAGCCTTGACCAGAGTTTTATGAATGTTGTTTTATAGTTGCTTTGTAGTATTTCATAAAACTTAAAATGATACTTGGGTATGCTGCTTCCCGAACACAGGCATAAGAGAATCGTTTCTAAACGAAACATGTCGATGTAGCATTGCTGCTTCCCCAACAATGTCATCAGAGGGTCGTTAGTAGACGAAAAAAGTCGAAGTTGCATTCGCCTCCGATCTTCCGGCATGTGTGAATAGGGAGGATGCAATTGCGTAACATTTTGCACACTCATCACCCTATTCAGAACGCCGACAAAACGACACAAAATGCTCTCCAGAGTTGTAATCTTGTAATCAAACTTGGAAGCAAGGTTGCAAGTGATTTTGATCGTATCTCTTCATCGGCTTTCTGTTTTCTTAATAACTCGACGGCAAACACATTCATTGATACGTTTGTTGTTCTGGATGATAGAAGAGCATAGCAGAAATAGTGCGAAATAGGTTAGTGAAGCTATGGTCATTAAAAAGAGGAAATCTATGAAGAGAATTGGCTTTCACATCTCTGCTTCTAAGCCCCTTAATTCAGTCGTCGCCATAGCAATAAGAACTAACATCGCACCGCTTTTGGTTCTTGGGTTACAGCAAGTTGCAATTCTGCTGTTCGATATTTTTGAAGGACCACCAAAAACCATGAAATTACACTATTTTCTAGGAATGTTTAAAGGGCCAATTATTCGATTAACGATTAATCTAAAGATTTTTCCAGCTATTCGATTAAATATTTATCGAATTTTCAATTAATCATTTTGTTCGACAATTTTCCACAGAGATGGCGCTGTTCCACTGGTAGGTAGTGATAAAAATCCCCATATAGAAATTGAGAGAAGTGGGAATAATTCGCTTTCGGTGCATATTCAGGTCGAAAAAAGTGAACGACAACCTAAAAAAATTAATCAGGTACTTTGTAGTTCAGTTTTTTCCGGGAAATTATTGTTGATCAAGTTACAATTAAATAAAAATGAATTTTCCTCATACAGTTTTACCTGATTTACTACCAGCTCCCAGAGAGCCGAAAAATTCAAATTTGAGAGAAAGAATTTTCTCTCACGACCTCAATCTCTCAACATGCCATGTATTTTGATTACATTGCATTTGCTTTAACATTTGAAGTCCCTCCTTTTTAACATATTCTGCGCAAAAGATACTTTATGCCCCGCCCCATACATACAATTTGGCGGGAAATTATGTGAGGGGTGAGCTATTTTGTGTGCAGGATGTGTAAAAAAGGAGGGACTTCAAATAATAATCTAAATGCATATATAGAGGT